TTTCAATCACGCTTGGCTTTGTAACGCTTTAGAAGATGCCCTGCATTTATCCCTCGCACTTTGCGGAAGCGGTGTAATTAGCTCGTGATTTTAATGTTCTACACCAAGTTTCAGTAAATTTTACCGATTCCTCCTATTAGTTGTTTGGAAGCATTCTTACAACCACTCAGTCAATTTTACTATTTAAACTGTATGTCAGATGTAGGAAGTGATACAGTGGTTTACATCAAAAAGCTTCATATTAAATCATTTCGCCGTTTCGGACTTTGGAGCGAATTGCTAGAACTAAGTCTTTGGCTATTATTATATAATCTCCTCACGAAAGGCCTTGCATCAAAATGTGTAGCCAAAAGGCTACCTTTACATGACCATGGGCTGATTTTCAACTCGGGTTGAATTAAAGACCCCATGATCGAGGACGAGGCTTGTTTTTATTACGTTTACAAAGTAATTCCCAAGACTGACATGTACGGCATTTTTTTGTACAGCCTTTACAGCTGTATTTAATTTCCGCTCTATTTGCTATAATCAGAAGTAAAATCTTTCAGTCTTATTTGCCAAAGTAAATTTGGCTTGAGGTTTTTGTTTGCAAACACCGAAGGTCAATAGGCCAAAAAATTCTATGCCAAGTACAATTAATTTGCAATTTTAATTAAGTTAGCGCTTAGTGTTATTGAAGCTTTAGAGTTTATAGTCATAACATGGCTCCTAGTATTGCATATTTTCTATTTTCAATGAAAATTACCTAACTTTCATATTTTATTTCCATTTCAGAAGGCAACACTGTCATTGTCGGTCGATTATTGCTGGAATTTACGTAAATCGGATTGTTTTGCAGTTGAACGTGCTGATGTGACGTAATGGTCTGGTAGTGAGGTAAAAGACCGGTCAATATTTATCCATGTACAGAATATAGTCTAGTTAGTCTTATCCTTTAGTTCACAGTTGTCAAGTTATAAAAAAAGTTATAGCAATATAGGTGAGATTTTCTCGAGGCTCTGTATACTATATTTCCGACTTCGTAATCGTAATCGTGCTCTGCAGGTATACGGCAATATTACACTATACTATATATAGGTCCTTGTACAAACACAATGTTTGAATTTTACATGGATGCATGAAATTTAAATCTTACTAAGACAACTCCGTTTGATAAATTCAGAAACTGCGGCTGAATATACTTCGTCAGAATGTAAGAAATATACTCTAAGTAGTAAGTAATTTAAATTTCTATACAAGTGAAACTTTTGGTTTGCAGTTCACTTTTAATAGAGCTAAAAAATCCGCTGGTAGTTTGACTAAGAGACCGGTCAGTATTTATCCATGTACATAATATAGTCTAACTAGTCTTATGAGTCTTATCCTTTAGTTCATAGTTATCTTATCCTTTAGTTCATAGTTATCATGCAAGTTATAAAAAAAGTTATAGGTGAGGTTAAGTCTCCCCAAGGCAACTCCGTTTGATAAATTCAAATGACGGCAGCTGAATTAAAAGTATACTTATAAAATGAATGAATATAAAAAAAAACATACTCTACTTTAAATGTTTGCACTAATTTAATAGTGATAGGTACTTTATAGGCTTGCGGTATGCACTTACTGTTTTAGAGCTAAAAAAGTCCGTGAGATTATCTAAGAATTAGGTAAGACCAACACTAAAAATAAATAAATGCGTCAATTACTATGTATAGTTTTGTTATAGGCATTACTGGGATAGAACGTATAGGAATTGACAGTTTCTGTATTTTTAGACCACGCTTTTTTTATTTGCTGGTTTACGGATTTTACTCGCTAGTATTAAAGGCGGGTCTTGCGCAGGCTTGACGCAGCATGATGACGTCGAACACAAATCGGCTTCCGCTTTCCCAGTGATATGGGATGATTTTCGCAGTTCAAATCGTTGCCTAGCCAATCAAATTTCATGTAACATTATTGCATTGCAAACCGTCGCTAATGTCTACGTTTGACGTCATTCTGTATGAGAAAGTCACGGAGGAATGGATTCAAACCGCGATCCAATCGATGCAAATCCACCAGACCAACCAAAATAAAAAACTAGCAAATCAATTCCTTTTTGTCAGTGCTGATAATATTACTTCAATATTAGTAATGTCCGGAGGTAAAAACGGCTATAGTAATTAAAATAGGATGGTTTTGATAATTAAATCCGAAAATTATGGTCATCCTAGGCTATAGTTGATAGTTGCCAAGTTTTAAAAAAATATTATTTTGAATTAGTATACCATATATTATTTATTATTTGATTCAATTTTTTTCCAGTAGAAGTTGGAAATAAATTATTTCCAACTTCTACTGGAAAAAAAATTGAAAATCCATAGAATGGAAATTGTATGGACTTTTATTGGAAATAGAATGAATTTTTGATTATCCATAATATTTGTATATTTTCATACTATGGAAAAAGTATCGAAATAGTATGGATATACTAGTATGGATTTCACCCCCCCCCCCCCAGTGTTCGTGATTAGCTTTGGGGGAAGGGGGCAGCGTTGCTGCAATTATTATAGGTCTTTGGTCAAACACAATATATCGTATTAGTGGCCTATAGTTATACTGATTTAAATATCACCAAGGCAACTGCGTATATAATAATTGTAGAAGTCAGCTTTATTAACCGTGGTTATCCTTCATTTTAATTGCCTTACCATTTCGACTTAGCGGCTAATATTTATAGTTTCCGAAGTCATAGTTTCTGTTCGTATAGGGAAGGAATTTGCTTGCTCACCAATAGCAAAAAGCGGGAGGAGAACTGAAGAATTGTCCAATATCAATAACTGCAGGTGCATGACTTCGGCCAAGTCACGCGGACAGTCACGCGCCATGGCACGCTTGTCAAATATTAGACCTTGTTTGTAATGACGTCAAACGCGGAATGGCGACGTGACTTGGAAAACATGCAGGTCATCGAAATGTAACAACTATTGTATTATATTTGCATTCGGTGAATTCTCGCTGTAGATCATTGGTCCACAATGTAACAGGCAGAGCATACACCCTTTTCATAAATGGCTGCCGATTAAAAATTATTTTATGTGCCGGCATATAAATTGGCCCAACCAGCCTCGTTTCTGAGTAGAAATTCCTTTGAAATCTTAACATGAGTACGAGGTTAGTTGGGCCAATTTATATGCACCTAAAAGAATTTTTAATCCGCAGCCATTTATGAAAAGGGTGTATTAATTATCTACATTTGACGTCATTGTCGATATGCACGAGACGCCGGTCCATAGCGTGCGAGCGTGTTGAAGGTTTACTCTGCTCTTCATTTTATATATTTTTGAGGGAAAACCCATAATCCAAAAATTTTAAATTTTGCCTTTTAAATACCAAAATTTTACAGTTCTTCCCAATAATTTTATATTTTTCAATCATGCTTTTCATTTTCGCATTTCAAATTCAATCATATTTATAGTATGACTGCTTTAATTATTATCATCCCGTCTATATATAGGAATCACGTGCACATTTAACTCGTTTGATTACTTTGATATAATTGAATGCAGATGGGACTGACTTGTGGATGAAATTTTCAAATGGGAAATTGCCAAATTGGGAATGTATACAATATTAATTAAACCTAACCGAGAGCGGCTGCAGAAAAATTCGCTACGGCAGGAATCCGAACTGCTGCATGCAGCTCGGCGATTTCGGCGCAGCGCTTGACCACTAAACAACAGATCGAGACCAGTTGCCGAGCCGATTATAACTGACATATTCTTGTATACATAGTGAGGTGATTCCCGTGTTAGGGACGGACCATTAGAAAAGTGATGGGGGGGGGGGGCAAAACCAAAAAAAAATTATTCCCAGAAAAAAATTAGGAAAAAAATCTTTCCAGGCATAGTGCAAAAAAAATCCTAGCTTGGAAGATAGGCCTATAAATTTCACTTAAAGAAATATTTCCAGCCATCAAGTGAGAAGAAAAAAATTCTTCTATAGGTGTCCAAAAAAATATATATTGCCTCTTAGAAAATCCCCACCCACCCCCATCACTTTTCTAATGGTCCGTCCCTTAGGTAGATGCATGGGTAATTAATCTTATCAAAATTTTAGCCTTTGGGCATATCACTCGATAGAACTACAATCTTTGCCAGAAACTATGGGACAGCTGCTGTAATTTCGTATAATTTGAAAGGAATAGCGCCCCCCGTTCTCCCAGTACGTACGTTCAATGTTGGACCGACAAAAACCTGATGTCTTGTTGCAAGGCGCCAACATTGAAACAGGTGGGGTGGGGACGGGGAGGGTGGAAAAAATGTATTGGTATATTACAACCGAATGCATGTAAAAACTAAGATTGTCCAATCTATATTGTCAAAGATTGTAGGTAGGAGGATAGGGATGTCGGGACGTCTCAGAACACCTCATGCATTGTGCGAATATTGTATGTGTTATTTCCCATTCTTGAACATTGCGACACAGTGTGTCAATTGTTGTGGGGAATACGAAATGCCAAAAACTTCAATGGCCTTTTGATAGAATTGTAACTGACCAAAAGAGCTATACATGGCCAGGTGGCCGTCCATGCAAAGTAAGCGAGATCAGTGACTTTTTGAAATTAGTAAAGAAATGTATACAAGGAGGTTGTCTTCAATTTTAAAAAAATGATTTTTCTTTCAATTAATAATTAGTACATAGTCGAGTGACAAGGCAAAGTAAAAATTTACATTTACCTCGGGATAGAACTGACTGACAAGCTACGAAGTCATTCTATATTATAATGGTGCAGTTTGTCGAGAATTATGCATAGTTGTTAAAGGACACTATAGTTAATCTTATATGACTTTTAAGCGTAGTATTTTGCTTGCGCATGCGCGTTAGTGCTCGCCTACGAACACGTTTTAGATTCGTATAAACATTCATATAAAACGACCGTTTTGGACCATAGTTTTGGACTTTATGTTAGTTATGTCATATATTAAGATGTCAAATATATTCATATAAACAATCCACATTTTGGTGCCGTGACCAGTTGTATTATGGAAGAATTACAAAGACTTCGAGCGTCCCGAAAAGCTTATCGAGCACACCTCACAACACTTTACAAGAAGATTATAGAATTGAAATCCGCCACGACTATCGATGAACTTCATATTGCCACGCTCGAAAACTACTGTCAACAACTCAAAAGAAAGAAAGACATCTTAACACCACTCAATGAACAAATTGCGAAAGCTATCACCAAACCCGAAGACCTTGAAAGTGAGATTTTTGAAACGGAAGAAATGCACAGCACAATCGACGAAAGGTACAGTGAACTTACCACATTTATTGAGATAAAACGAAACGAATTAAAGCTTAAAGTTACTGTACAATCATCCAATAACACTGATGAGTCATCCCCAGAAACCTCACCCCAACCAGAACAGTCTATTCAACAGGAAAATATCCATCAACCAGAAATGAGTCAAAGCCCAGTTGGACCCAATTCCCAAACAGAGGAAACCCCAGCTTCCAACAACACTATTCAAAATCAAACACTGATTAATAACAATATCAATGGTGCCAGTGCCAGTGCCAATGGTTCTTATCCATCAGTTAGTCGACTGCCAAAGTTATCCCTACCTACATTTTCTGGGGACCCCATTGCCTGGCAAAACTTCTGTGACTCGTTTAAGACAACCATCCATTTAAACCACACACTGCATGATGTTCAAAAGTTCAACTATCTAAAGGCTCAACTTACAGGTGATGCAGCTAGAGTTATAGAAGGTTTCCCTATCACAAGTACCAACTACAAACATTGAATTGATCTCCTAATTGAGCATTTTGGTCAACAACAAAAGATTGTCAATGCACACATGCAACGTTTGCTTGAACTACCCAAACCCGACACAGGGCTCGTAAGTCTTCAGCTTTTCTACGACACAATTGAGAACCACATCCGAGGACTTGCCTCACTTGGCCAGTCAAAAGATTCCTATGGGGCCATTTTATACCAATAATTTTGGGGAAATTACCAGCTGAAGTTAGGCGAAACCTAGCCCGAGAACATCACACCTTAGAATGGTCAATTGATCAACTACGAGATGCCCTCCTTAAAGAAATCAAGATCCTTGAAGCTGGTCTGCACATAGACAAAACTAAATCAGAGCTTAGTCCTGCCCACACTGCTACAGCTGCATTTCATACTGGTTCAGGGGGGGGGGGGCAACAATACTCAGAAAAGAAATCAAGGTGACAAGACCCCACACTGTGCATACTGTAAGGGTACACATTCCTCACTTTGGTGAGAAGTAGTGACTGATCCATAGAAACGATTGACGATTATTAAACAAGCAAACTTGTGTTTTAATTGCCTTGGACACCACAAGGTGTCACAGTGTCGATCCAAATACCGCTGCAGAACATGTACACACAAACATCACACCAGCTTGTGCAAACCTCAGAAACCACCCATCAAAGATCCCCAAGAAACCACCCATCAAAGAACGAGGAACAAGGGGAAAAATCTGTCCACACCACACTAATCCCTGCGGCCCCAACATCAATTGTAAACACTCAAGGAAACGAAACTACTATTTGTTTACTGAAAACCGATATTAGTACTGTCTCCTTAGCTAACCAAAGAGCTGTTGCAAACATCTTGTTTGACGAGGGAGCCCAGTGCTCTTTTATCACCCGTGAATTAGCCGACAAGCTTCACGCATGTCCCCAACAAACTAAAGATATCCAAATTTCAACATTTGGGGGAGAACAACCAACCAGTCACACATTAGAAACCGTTACCATCAACATCGAAGGCATCTCAGGTGAGAAAATACCAGTTAGTGTTTTGGTCGTTCCAAAGATTGCCACACCCTTGCAAAGTCGTATTCGCACCAACGTCCGGACTCTCCCATACCTAAAGGGAACCCCACTCGCCCACCCAATCACCTCAGACGAGAAATTTGAAGTCTCGCTCTTGATTGGAGCAGATCACAACTGGGAAATAGTCCAAGACCATATTATCAGAGGAGCTGGTCCAACAGCTATGGAGTCTAAACTTGGATATCTACTTTCGGGACCCTTACCCCTGGGAGAAGCCCCATCAAACACCACCATGTTAAATGTCATTACCATGCCTCATCATCAAGTAGAGAGCATGAACCCTAATCGGTTTTGGGATTCACCACCCTTAGATTTGTTAATGACCCCCACAGAAACCACCGACCAGGCTGCGATTGGAACTTCAAGGAAACTAACATCACTCGCTCTCCTGATGGCACTTCTTGTGCAAGATTTCCATGGAGGACTGAGCATCGCCCACTACCATCCAACTACGCTGTATGTGTAAAGAGAACACGACTTCTAGCTCGTCGCCGTGGACAGGACCCCAAACTCTTGAAGACCTATAGCGACATCATTGCAGAACAAGAAGAGAAAGTATTCATTGAAAAGGTGACTACGACCAACATGTCAGATAAGATCCACTACATTCCCCACCACCCTGTAAAAAAGGACTCTACCACCACACCTATTCAATTGTATATGACTGTAGCTGCCGCCAGTCAACATACCACCTAAGTTTGAATGATTGGCTTCTGTCGGGTCCACCATCACTAAATGATATGTGGTCAACTCGTCTGCGCTTTCAAACCCACCCATTTGCATTTTCAACCGATATAGAGAAGGCATTTCTACATGTTCAACTCCACGAAGATGACATAGACTGTACCAGATTCCTGTGGCTTTCCCAAACTGATGATCCCAAAAGCGTATTTCAAGCCTACGGATTCAAAGTTATATACAAATAAAACACCATGTTATATACAAATAAAAAATAAAAAAACTTTTTTTAAATTATAAAGTTGGCGGTAAAATAAGTCGATTTCGCTGTAACACAGCCTCTTCAGTACTCCGCCATCTTGTTTTCAAAAAATTGTTATGTACTTCATGTAGTTAAAATAGCGTATTGAAACTTCATGTAACCATCAACGTAGTGTCTCACTCTTCACTCTATTACTACCCGGGGAATTTTAAAATAATCCCACTCGGTTTTTGAGTTCATCAATTCGCCTTTCTTTATCTTGTTCACCTTCACACTCTCCGATATCTGTCTCAACATCGCATCATTGCCATACCTCCCTGTCACATTCATCTGAAATGTTTGCACCTCACCATCATGCTTTTCCTTACAGTGTTTCCATAGAGTAGATTGTTCCCTTTTCTTTTCATACATCTTGACATGTTCCCCTCCTGTGACATACGCACTTCTTGACGTTTCGCCCACATAAACATTATTACAGGTATAGCATCATATATCATAAGTCACTCCATGTCCACCACAAGGTCCTTTCCCGCACAGAAAATGATGTCACCCACTATTACAAGTCGGCACGATCCATTATGTCCTCTGGTAACTTCAACCTTCGAGCTTGGGCATCAGTCCACAACTTCAAGAGCCTCTGTCTACAAGAAGGAACTGCTGGTACTAAAACTACTGTTAATGTTCTCGGCCTCCAGTGGAATACGTTGACAGACACTTTGTCCCTCACCCCTAAACACATCTCCCCATCCCTCAACTTACCGACCAAAAGAGAAGTCCTCAGCAATTCCTCGAAGATCTATGACCCACAGGGTCTGTTATCCCCGGTTACTATTAGAGCTAAGTTACTCATGCAAGAATTGTGGCGACAAAATATCGAATGGGACGAACCACTTTCACAAGAACTGAGCGAGAAGTGGTTGAGCATAGCCGAAGATATCAACACTGTTTCAGGGACCATGAACTTTCCGAGATGTCCAATCACAATCAATCCTAACTATACCAAGCCCGATCGAGCTCCATGTCTTCTCGGATGCAAGTATAAAGGCCTATGGCGCCGTTGCTTATCTCCGTCACGGTCCGCAAATCGCAATTCTTGTGGCTAGAACACGTGTTGCACCCCTGAAGAAACTAACCTTACCTAGACTCGAGCTAATGGGTGCTGTCACCGCCTCACAGTTGGCCAGCTATGTCAAGAACGCACTTGCTACAACTACCATGTACAGTGACCTCACTGTGAGGCTTCGGACGGACAGTCAAATAGTCTTACATTGGTTGTCCAGCAACAAACGTCTAAGCCAGTTCATTACGAACCGTGTTCAAACAATCAAAGATCTACTTCCCAAGGCAACATGGGGATATTGTCCAACCAACGATAATCCGGCGGACCTACTTACGAGAGGCTTAAGTGCAACCCAACTTTGTTCTTCAGTCCTTTGGAAACAGGGTCCACCTTGGTTAACGTGCGAGTCCAAGTGGCCGACGTGGTCCTCAACCGACTTATCTCCTACTCTGACACTAGCAATTTCATCGGAAGAAATCAACCACAACGCACCCGAAAGAGACAGCATTCCCACGGAACATCGCCAACCCGGAATACACAGCATCATTAACATCGAGAAGTACAGCAAACTAAATCACCTACCACGAGTTACAGCCTACGTCCTGCGATTCATTGCTCTCCTAAGAAAAGACAAAAGTGACACTTCTGGACCCCTCACCGCGAATGAATTGAACCTTGCCGAGCGGATATGGACATATTCCTGTCAAAGTACTACCTTCTCCGACAAAATCGAGAACCTGTCTTCCAAAACATCCCGAAGATTACCACTCATACGACAACTGCGTCTTTTCCTCGACACCGACAATTTGCTTCGTTGTGGCGGGAGGATCCACAATGCGCCATTAAGCACGTCAGCGAAGTTTCCATACCTCCTACCTAAGAACCATCCTTTCACAGATCTTGTCGTATACAGCGCCCATGAAAACATACTCCACAGTGGCGTGAACTCCACAATGACCACATTACGTCAGGCCTATTGGATCCCATCCATCCGCCAGTACGTGAGAAAATTGTTGAGACGGTGCGTAAATTGTCGTAAGGTCACTGGTACTGCTTATACACGCCCCGATCCACCTCCACTTTCCAAGTCGAGAACAATCGAGATTCACAAGCACTGCACGACTCTCTCAGCAAACGAGGAGTAGAATGGCAATTCATTCCGAAAAGGGCGCCTTGGTTTGGAGGATTCTGGGAGCGCTTGATTGGTCTAACCAAAACCACCTTAAAGAAGATCCTTGGACACGCATGGTCTACAAACGATCATAGTCGAGATCGAAGCTGTCCTCAATGACCGCCCTATAACCTATGTCACATCCGAAGCTGACGATCCAGAACCCTTGACACCTTCCCACCTTCTCTACGGACGACGCGTCAGAAGATTACCTCGCCTAATCGTTGAAGTAGAGGAACTACACGATCCCAATTTCGACGACGATTCCGAAGTTCGAGAAAGAGAAATGATATGCATTAGATGGTGTCGTATGTAATGCTATGGCAATTAATTAGAGGCATGGTGTTGTATGGTTATGATGTGCTACGAGATAAAATTATATATATGAGATGGTATGGTATATGTGGGATGGAATGGAATGGGATGGTTTTCTGTTGTGTGGTATGGGTTGGAATAATAAGGGTAGAAGCTATGGATATGGTGTTGTATGGATATGATGTGCTATGAGATGGGATGGTATACTGCGATGTGGTATAACATGA